GTCATTTAAATAGAAGGAATATTAAAATTATTCGCGACCACTTACTCCTCTTGCTAGTGATTCAGAAAGTTCGAGTTCTGAAGTCATTTTTGATAGGGCGACCTATAACAAGCAATTTTAAGCCGTTTTTAACGGATGAAAAACCCAGTCGTTTGGCAAAAAACTACAAAAACTATACAACTTATTTGGAAAAGATGGAAGTCTGATTCTTGAATACTTTACAAGCTAGATCAAAATGGTTGGTTGAAAAAAATGACCTAAAGATTGGTCAAATGGGTTTGATTAAAGAAGATTTTCTGCCAATTAATAATTGGATTTTAGGAGCGAATAACATCATTGTACCACGGTTCTGATAGAAAAAGTCCGTGTTGTGAAAGGTTCATACCAAAACACAGGACTTTTAAAAGGAAAATTAATAAATAGCAGTATTGCATACTGAAAGTTTAGTAGTTGTGTATTATGTTACTCAATTACTATTAATTATGCATTAAAAATTTTATTGTCAATAATTTTGTATCCTTGTTTACAAGTTTCGATGTTTTTGTTTACTTATTTTATAGTTTTCTATACATATTTCATATTTGTTTACATGAATAATTGAAACTGGTATTTTAATATTAGTATTTTATAACTAGACTTATGTCAAGTTCTTGCATGCGAACATGGCAAGGTCGGCAGGATGTCGGCGCATTTTTACGCCAACCAATCTCGCCAAATTATCGCCTCCTACGATTGAGGCAAGCAGAGTTTAAAAAGAAATCTAACCAGTCTGACGCGAGCAATTACTGTAAACCGAAGCTCAAAATTAAATTGTATTTTGCTTCACTGTAAATATTTGTATATGATGTTTTTCTAAATAAAATAATTAAAAAACAAGCAGCGTGAAGCTGGTCCGTCGATAAAAAATAACCTTTAGAAAAATAGTTTATTCACAAATCTTTTTAATGGAATAGATTACTGAATTTATGTTGAAGTATTTTAATTTAAAATGGTAAGAATTGGTTTAATAGTTCGAAAATTTCATGAATGTTTATTTATTTTGTTTCAAGAATGTTTATATAGTGGATTTGACAGGTCATTGAAAAGACGCAATCAAATCTTTTGAGGGAGGTGTCTGACGTGATGACCACGCATTGCGCAGTTTAGCCGAAAACGGCCTGCAACGCCTCTCTCTCATGAGACTTACTAGAGAAGAGTAGTTAGTAGGTAGTAGCGAAGTAAGAAGGAAATATGTTGTATGTCAGCTTAGATGCAAGATACGAAGTGATACTTGTGTGTTCATCGTTTGTACTTATTATTTTTATTTGTGTGTTAATAAAGTTTTGTGCCGTTAAAATGGCTGTTTTATGCAACGCACACAATACGATACGTCTACGGTGGGAAGTAAATACATATCCAGAAGCTACACGCCCAAGAAAAGAAGATTATGACACTAACATTTGCCCTTTATTTCCTTTTCTTTCTTGCATTACTTTAATGCTTTCCAATATTTTTTTTTTACTTTTTCTAAATCTTACTATAAATTTACCTTTTGGAAGATTTAAAATTTTCCGTTGTCAGTAGTGCCAAACATGTAACCCTAGGTGTCACTTTTCCCATTTGAATCAGCTTCCTTTGTTCTTCAATCAGGTAAGTTCAAAACTTTTTGCTATCAGTTAAGTGTATAAATATTACTTAAATTCCATATCTTTTGTAAATTATTTCGTTTTCATTTTAATATTAGAAATTGTATATATTACTTTTTACTTTATTAGACAAACTGAATTTATTTCATCCAAATTTGTTTTTTTACAGATTACTGAAAGAAAAGCCGCTGTGTAGAAGAGGCATTCGAAATTTTCGGATGAACTACAATGATTAAATAATTTAAAATGGTTCATCAACCAATTTTGGGTTAACAGAAACACAATCGTTTTCCTAGGACTTCTGATCGACCTCCTCTTGAAAACATTGAATCAGATTTTGATTGTATTACTCTTCCTCTGCTTTTTTATGTATTGCTATTGTTTCCGGGGATACTTGTGGTTAAAACAGACTGAATTTATAGAGTCTTTCTATAGTTGGAAGATTAGGGATTGTACTGGTTTTATATTTCATTTCTTTCCTGTCTTAGTTGTTTTGATACTAGATTGATTACTTTTTGTCGCTAACTAATTAATATTTCAACAGCATATTGCGCGGAAATGATTTGAGATATTTATGTTGTAAAAAGTTTCTGTAATACTATATATATATATGTAAAATATAAAAATTACGGTGGCTTTGCTCTGCGCGAAGAGGCAACCTTTAATTAACTTTCCGCAATTTCGGGATCTTCCCCCTAGACCAGTACTTTCGAGAACATTCTGGCATGTTACGTAACCGCTGCTATAAATGAAGTGTTCGCGCCATTTTCCATGAGACTGCTCCCTGCCATCGCTGCAATAAGACCTTGTGCGGCTCTATCGCTTCTTCTTTCCTTTGTTAGAATAGTTATGACGTCAAAAGCTTAACCTTATTTTAATTTAAATCATTATTGGATATGTAGTTTTTGGAGAATTTGAAAGAATAATGTCCTTTAATTTTTAAGTGAATAAAGCTATGGGGTATTAAAATTTAAATTCTTTTGTGTTTTCAATTCGGATGCCTTCCCATTCCTCAACGACCACACCCGGACTCTGATGTGACCAGATAGCTAAACTTCATCATTTCCAATGCCGATCTACTGCAAATATTACACACACACACACATATATATATATATACTAGAAAGCCCGGCTGTCGTACGAAATGATCGCTGTTCTAGATATTATAAATTGTAATTAAAATGATTTGTGCAAAGTTGTCTGCTAATTTAAACTGAATTACACAGGGCAGGCAGCGAAGACGCCCCTTTGCTTACTGCCCCACGGGGTTTCCCCCTTCTACTTGCTTAATTACTTAAAGTAGAGTACAATGAAGAAAACTACTGGCGGTACATTTCTTAAGAGCCTACCGCTAACTCAATCAATAAAGGTGATTTAAATAATGAAATGTTAATTCACATGTCAAAGATCTCTTTGTACAGAACATTTCTTGTGTAGATCTTTCCCCGTATCATTTTTAAGCTCGCCTTGCAGAGGACCATCCAATATTTTAATTTTACGTCCGTTCTTTCACGAACTCTTGAACAGGTAACGTAAAGTTGACCGTGTCCAAATGCAGGCTGGAGGTAAAAAAATGCCAACACGCTTAAGCGTTTAGCCCTGAGACTTAGTGATGGTCATAGCAAAGGCAAGTTTTACCAGGAAACTGTCTACGTCTCAATTTGAAATGGCAACCCTGTGCCATGGCAACTTACACCTCATTGGCTAGTACAGTTACACAAGCAACCAATAAACTATCGGCAACAAACAGATACTTAAGCCGCACCTATATACATATATGGGGTGAAGAAACATTATTTCCTCCTGAAACGGCTGGCTCCCGGGCTTAGCAAAGTACACCGTTGGATTCCGGAAGTGCGTGGCACGCAATTTTGACCATTCGTGTCTTCTTGGGACTTTAATTAACCGAGATTTTAATTAAAAACTAATTTTCCCTTACGTTTTCCACTTTCTTTCTTGGGTTTTCCCTATTAGAGGGATTTGGCTACGTGCCAAATTATTTTTTCTCGAATATCTACGGAACGGCGCCGAGTTGAAATCCGAGACACTTATCCTCGGATTCCCAGAAATTCTCCGAATCCATCGATACCGTTCTCATCTTACTACGACTTTAATCGGTTGAGATATTAATTAAAAACTGCGGAAACGTTAATTTCTGCGCTCATTTTTCGGAGGGCGACAATAAACTATCGGCGACACACACTTTAACCACTTATATAATATAAAGATATATGAAGTACTTAATAGAAGACAGACAAATTAATACATTCTTGTAATTCATTCTTCAATTCTTGACTAATTTAATCAACACCATGGATTTATTCAATTTTTTAAAAATATTTTATCGTTTCCTTTTAAAGAATTATAGAGAGTTGTTCTGCGTAATTATTTTTCAGTCTTTTAACCAATTTGCAAAATTAATTAATTAATATTTTTAATGTGTGTTTTATTTTCTTAAGCTGCTTAGTATATTTTAGATTTTGTGCATTTTTAGTAGACAAGATTTACATGCAAGGTATAATTATAAAAATTGTTTTAAATTATATGTATCAAAATGCTTAATTGCTAAGTATTATATTGTTATAGTTCATATGTAAAGTATGTAGTTTTTATTTGTTACAGTATTATTTGTTATTAGTATTGTGTATTCTAATTTTAGAATAATATTGTTTTTCTAAATAAATGATTAAATTAAACTGTTATTAATACTTTGCTCGAACTTATTTACAGGAACACTAAAATTGTTTCGGTTATTTGGAAGTATATAAATTTAAATTTTTATTAAAAATATTGTTGCTTACAAAATTTAAGAAAAATGCACACATATATGTGCATATTATTGTTTTACAAAAGAGTAACTAGCAAATTTTCTTATCTCTAAATATTTGAAATTTTATTAATATTTCATTTAAATATCTTTTACTTTCGTATTAATTTAAAGGGAATTTTAAAATGATTTAATAATGAATAAACGTTACGCAGGTAGAAAGGAGCGTCGAAATTTTTTCAGAAGCAATTGAGTATAAAAAAACGTAAAACTCTACGAGAATAACAAATCTGTACTTTAAGTATGTAACATTACGGTAATATTGCTCTCTGTATAATATATTGGAAGCATCTACTTCAATGTGTCAAATGAGTATTGTTTGTCTGTTTACCATGGTTTGCGATTATTATTAGCTTTGTGAATAGCTTATGAATCTTTTCAGAAGCATCGGAATCACATCGCTGAAGACGTTTGTAATGTCAAAACCACAGAACTTTTAAATGTAGGAATATAATTTAGCATTTTAAATTTTAAAATGCTTTAGAAAATAAATAACAAAACACATTGAATGGAATAACTTTATTAATACTGTTGGACTTCTTCTTTAATAATATAATACATTCTTTTTTTTTTTTTTTTTTTTTTTTTTTTTTTTTTTTTACACTATCATTCACACAAAATTTTATTTTATTTTATTTTTTTACAAGAAAAACTTCGAAGGTTTCCTGAAAACAGTTTTTTCTACAAAGGTCATAGAAATCGACATTCAGTATGCAATCCGAAGACTGGGCGAGTATCCATGAATACCGTTTTTGGTTTATATCATTTACAAAAGACAGAATGTGCTTATAGACGGAAAATTTGAGCAAGGAAATACAGGTTCAGTTCAGAAAGCACCTACATACAGAACGCATAGCGTTGATTTAAAAACGCATATATCCCGTAGCATCATTAGAAGAAAGAAGAAAACTTCAAGGCATTTAGTGTTCTTAAATGTAAGTAAAGCACAATTACGGAATGCAAAATTTATGAATTTTAATGAATTGTAATTTGAAGCTCTGTGAACGGTCCTTCTTGCATTAAATCTTATCTTAATTTTCGCGAAAAAAAGGGAGTTTTAGATGGAAAGAGGAGCAAGTCTACATAATTTTCTCGGTAAAATCTTATAAGAAGAGACAAGAAGATTTGTTTAATGTAGGGAAGTGTTTAAAGTGAAATACAGTTAACTTTTATATTAAGTTACAAGTTACTTATCTAAAGTAAAATTGTAAGTCGCGTTTAAACTGTTTTTTTTTTGGGGGGAAGGGGCAGAATAAACTAATACTAACTGCAGTACCTTTTCTGAAAATTTAATAAAGGATGTTTTTCAATTGTTTTGAAAAACAGACTTGAATTATTTGAAATTTGAACTATATTCTTAAAAATGTAGTACTTTAGTGAAATGTGCCTACTTTGCAAACCGTATTACCGCAACTTTAATTAGCAAATAATATATTTCATAGAATTTACTTTCAGTTAGTTTCTCCATTAAGAACTTTATTTCTTTGAGAAATATATATCCAAAATAAAAGTCTTGAAAATATTTAAAAAAAGGTGGATGGAGTGAAGAGGAAAAGAAAGTGACTAGAAATGCATTTTTGGTGGATTTTATTTTATTCGATTTTTTAGGTATCATGTTTAATGTGAATTATTTCAGTATCAACTATTTAAATCCTTACAAGAAATTGTTTCAGATAAGCCTTGATACGGTTTAATGATAATTACATATTTTAGAAACAGTTCAAAATGTTTATAAATCTTTTTGTTAAAATTAAGAAACGTGACAAAAATTCTTGCTTGGATTTTTATGATAAATATAAATATTAATACTTTCAGCTTCATTTTTTATGCTATATAAGTATATTTTTTACATCGTAAAACATTTATGTATTTATTCATCTGATTTATATTGAAGTTAATGAAAAAGGACCGCTCACACAAAGAAGCTGTAATAGAGGATACCTTTTTGTCTTACTTTAGATGACAAACTGGTAGTTTTAAAACTTTAAATTAGTATTTTATTCACTTATATTTTGAAGTGAATGCGTATAAAATAAAATATATTGCTTTAGACTGAAACGAATTTCCAAACATATGGCTCAATAATTTTTTGGACCAGTGTCGTAATCGCAGTATTAACGTGGTGAATAAAAGAATTTATTAATTTTTCTCGTAAACATTAGTTTTTTATAATGTATTACAAAATATTTTGCTCCAGAAATAACATAATTTTTACGTATTTAATTCTCAAATTCTCAAAGAAAAATATACAAAGTTCTCAAAGAAAAAATTACCAACAGTTGACTGCAAAATGACCAGTTTAAAAACAAGCTTGAAAATGTTAATCATAATATACTAAATTTGAATTTTGAATAATTTCTCAAAAACGTTATAGTGGCAAGATGATTAATCTAGCCACAATTACAAATGTCGCAGGAACAAAAATACTTCACAGAATTAAATGCAGATTTACTGGAGTAATTTTATATAAAACACTAATCTATTTATAAATTGCACAACGTTTTTTGGAAACAGCTCGGTCGTTTTATATTAGAATCCGATTTTAAAAGAAATTAAAAAATTAAAATAAATATAATTTAGTAGCTAATGTTGTTAATAATAACTATTTAAAGACCACTCTATAAAATTAACGAAAGCAGAATATTCTAAAGATGACCCTCATTGTATTTTCTCTATAATTCTTCGAAAATCTATTCAACAGAAAATGATCTGTTTCTATTAAATATTAACAAAGCATATAAATTGTTACTTTATGTTGGATCTAGAAGTTAAAAAGACTTTCACCTAATTTCCGTTAAAAGTATGACAAAACACTCAACATTTAGGAAAAATTAAACTGGAAACAAACTTAAATGTATATAAGGTTCTGAAAAATGTATATAAGCGAATTCTTAATATTTTAAAACAAACTATAAAACGTATAAACAGTATAAATTATAAAAATTATATTTCACATTTATGATTGATTTACTTTAATGAAATTATATTGCTTCAACTTCCTTAAATTCTTGTATTGCTGATTATGACACTGATCACTGTAAGGCAATATCATTAGTGATGTAATTTCACTTCACGATGTTATGCATTCAAAATATCGAGAGCCAATCATAAAAGGACAAGTTAGCAGTCGTTTCATAATGACCAAATGTTGTCTTTTAATGTCTAGAGTTGTAAAATTCACAAGAATGCTGCAAACTCAATACGTTATTTTAGTTTAATAATTTGCAGATCGCTGTCATAACTGCTTTTTTCGCTTTATTCTTTTCATTAAAATGAAAAGCATAGTCCTTTTAATATTCTGCTTTCGATATTTGAATAGAAGATAACTTGTAATTTATAGGCACCAGTGTTTTTATTTTATACAGCACCAAGAGCTTATCCCACAATTAATTTGAATAAAAAAATTAAGAACACATTTCACATTACGCTTAACTATATACTTATTAACAAAAAGAGTAAAAAAGTTTGAAAACAGCTGTGGGATTTTTGAATGCAATGCAAATAAAAACAAAGCATAATAAAATATTCCCAATTTATTTTATTTATACAATCCTGGGGGAAGTTATTGAACATAAAAAGGTAAAACATATCATACTAGTCACTTGTTTTACATTATTTTTTCCATATTTAGCCTAAATTTTCCAAAGGATATCGCCCTCCAGCGCCGCCATACAAACTGCCTAAGAGCATTCTAATCGTCTGATACAATTAAGTGTAGAAGCACTTTTTTTAAAAAAGAATAAATAATTCCTTTGCCAAATTATGAATGTTCACTATTAAGCTAAACGAGATAGTTAAGTAACCGTGTTCGTTTCATAAGTGCCTTTCATTTATTATAATTAATAAGGCATTTAAAGTGATTAACTTTTCAGAGAACTATGTAGTGCAGTAATAAGCACATTTCTTTTTACAAAGATAGTAACTACTTCGCATTCAGTATTTCTGCAAAATGAAAATTTGAATGGATCTAAAATAATATTTATTGCCAATTCAGAATAATCAAAGAAATTGCAGCTATTAGTATTGCATTATAACTGTTAATAATCTATGTATAAAAGGCAGGCATACGAAAATTATTGTTTATCATACATTTTTTAACGATTATAAAAATTATTTTATTTTAGAGCTGCTATGCAAGTTCTTGAAATAGTTGCTACAGAATATCTTTTCAAAAGCAATTTTAAGTCAATCATTCTAATTATTTTATCTGCGTGAGTAAACGAATTTATTTATTTTTGATCTAAAATCTAGGAGAATTATAAATTAATTTTGATATCGGAAGATTAATTTTGTTTCTCTATTTCACTTCATATATTAACCATTTAATAATGAATTTCTTAAAAAAAAGAAACTAAGGCTTCGAGTAATCTTTTTCTAAAGGAAATAAATATTCTCATTTTAGAAATTCATTAGTACTTCATTTTAGAAACTTACATGATACCTGTAGTATGTATTATACTTTAATATCGTGCATGCTATCAATTTTAAAGCAGTAATACCTTTGATATTGAAATAATTAATATTAATTTACGTTTTAATGAAAATTTAAAATGCAATTTAAAAGCTTTTTCTTTAAAAAAGATTGCTTTAGTTACATTGAAACCAAATGAGAAATTATCAGTTGTATTTGTATGGGATGGTAATGGAAGAGCATCTTCTAAATTCTATGTATTTTTTAATATTTATAACACCGAACTTTGGGATTCTAATTATTTTTTAAACTTTAAATAGCAAATAGAATCAGATTTAGAAATAGAACAAACAGAATTTACATATCAGTAGAATTATCTGTAAATTTTAATGTATTTTATGAGGCACAAAGTTTCGAAACGTTTACAGTAGGCACATGTTAATATTAACTTATGAATTTTAAATGCTATCTTTTATAATTAATCACTGCTAGCTCGGCATTATAAAATAATTTCAATAATTATACTCTTACTTTACTCCCCCCTTTTTTTTTTGCTAGCTTAACATTAGAAAATAATTTCAATAATTATAGTCCTTCTTTCCTTTTTTGGCTAGCTCAACATTAGAAAATAATTTCAATAATTATACTCCTTGTTTCCTTTTTTTAACAGACTGAGATCCGATAACTGCGCATTAGTTTTCGATACAGTTCTTTCCTTCATTTTATCATTTCTGATGAAAATAAATAAAATACTGATTTATATAAATTATTATTTCCATTGATATTGAATCACTCCCTTGCATAGCAACTGCTTATTAACATTTTCGACGAATTAGTTATAGTATGCGCGTATGAATGCATTATTAAAAATAGGTAGCATAAGGAGTTAAGTAAGTACTGCCATTACAAACTGCCAACTTCATTACTTACGTATAATATTACATATTCCGGTAATATTTTCCTCACGATATGATTTAATGCGTATAATATTAATATCCCCGTAATTGACGCATGAATTATTGTAGCACAGTAATATGTAATATAATTTGTGTTTATTCTATTGAGTCTACGGAGATAGCGTCTAATGAGAAAAGAATGAAATAAGAAACTAGCGCAAGACCAGTTCCTTCAGTTCATCTGAAAAGCTAAGAAATTTAGCTGCACGTTTATTTGGACGCAAATTTTACTTTGGTTTATCTGTCCTGCAAGCTAAATGTGTTCTAGAAAGATTCAACAGACAGAAGCTACCCTATAAATAAAATACAAATGGGAAAAGTCTATCTTGTGGATGAGCTGCATTGGGTAAATTAAATGCGTTCAAAATATGAAATAAAATAATCAATTACTCTGCAAATCATTTAATAAGAAAAAAATTAATATATTTTGAATTCTTTAAAAATACATACCGCATATGAGTAAGAGTTCCAAGGAAGCAAAGCATTTTGAATGCAACTGCGAATATAGATAATCAATTTCTAGAAGGTATAGTAGAGAATTTCCTTTCCTGTTCATCATTATTGAACTTCGGAAACACATTAAGAAACGGTCTGTAATATACGTATGAATAGAAACATACTGTAAAAACATTTATTTAAACTTTTTCTCTTAAAATTTGCCCTCATTTAAAACTTGCGTGATTCTTAAGACTCGTTAAATTTTGCTTATGCTGAAATCTTTCTAAACGTATATTAGAACTATATTTTAGGTATGCATCAATACCTCAAAATGTATTTAATTACAAACGTATAATTTTATTTGTTAAGCATATATGCAAACTAATGTTCAATTTACAATGAACACATTAATTCGTGTTATCTATTACATCTTATCAAGAGGACATACACATTCTATACAAAACAGCATCTTCTAAAGTAATATCATTTTGTAGAATTTATAACTGATTGTGCCGCAATCGATGGCTTCTAAGATTACTTTGCATGAGTGTTCTTTTTTTATTCCGTTTATTTTTATTTTGATGCTCTTGTATGCGGCCGTTTGATCTTTTACAGTCACTAATTTTTGTTATTGTTTGTCAAGTTTTTTTTAATTTACAAAAGTTTTTATTTACGATGAATTTTCTACAGATATTTCAAATTTACTCTCTTTTGATATAACATCCTAATGTAGCTTTCAGTTTGCTACGACAAACTTCTACTCTAGTTTCCACTTTCCTTCCTATTGAACTTATCATTCCAAAGTGATATATATATATATATATAACAACATAACATTCAAAAGTGGAACATATTATTCAAAAGTGGTATATAATGCTAACAGTACTTGCTTTTGACAGCTTTCTAATTCTAGCTTTTTTTCTAGTTTCTAGTCTAATTCTATAGTAAAAAATATTTGTTTTCGACAAAATATAGCAGTTCAGAAAAATTACCTAATTAAACACGAGAAGGTTTTTTTTATAAATTACAATTATTTCAATTTACAGTTTACAGTTATTTAAATCTTGGCTGCCAAAAATCCCCCCCGAAAAAAAAGAATAGACGAATAGACATTTCTATTTATTAATGTTAGCAACAGTAGTTCAATTTAAAAAAAGGAGACATTTTCAGATCACCTGTAATTCTTTTTGTATCGACGTTTGTTTTCGTGTTCGACACCGAAAAATTATGAGAAATAAAAGTATTTTCTACAAAAAATAGGTTTCAAGTACTTTTTTGATGATTTTCTACCTTTCAAGCTCGTGCCGGATTTTTGTCCCTTTGGAAGAAAAAAGGGTAAGTGGACATTTTTTTTCTAAATTTAGAATTTTGAACTGAAATCTCTGGTATAGATTCCCAAAATTGGCTGGGTATCAGTATTTTCCTTCTCAGTTACGTTTTTAGTTTTAGTTACTTAGTCTTCGCCTCTTTACTTGAAAGTTTACTGGTATAATTTTTTCTTTTGCTATTGATTCTTTTTTATACATCTAAGGTTATTTACATATGCATTAGATTTTTTGATTTCCTATTCATTTCTATACAGTCAATATCAGTTCTTTGACTACTACCTCTTTAGCAGATCTGTAGCTGTAACGTTGATTTCTTATATAAAATTCTAATCTGTAACGTTGATTTCTTATATAAAATCTTATTTTGAATTTAATTATTAATTCTCTCCTTTGCTAGCAATTTCCTATTATGTTGAATCTTTGACAAATATTTAAACTTTATTTTATTTACCATTTTCTCTTTGTAATTTCTCAAAACTCCAAACTTGCTACATTATTCCTTTAGACATTACATTATTTGTTGTGCATTATTTTACTTTCTGTTCTGTTTAACAGTTTCTTTCATTGTATATAAAGATAAATTTTCTTAAACACTTTTTTTAGTTTAGGTTTTATTTATTTCGAAATTAATATTCCAGAGATATTTACATTCCGATTTACTTCACTAAGTCTTTAATTTTATTCTCATAAAATGAGTTACGCATTTGTGATATTAAATTTTGAGAGATAATTAATGCTAATTTATTGGTACCATGTTCCGAAATTGAATTTTTTTTTAATACATGGTACCATTTTAACAGAAATTGTATTTTATTAACACATGGTGTCATTTTCAGGTCTATTATTTTCAAAAGTTCTTCTTTGTCAATTGATAAATCAAGTTCGTAACGTTCGGTTCCGAATAAAACATGAAGAAGCCGATTAAATTGAGCTTTTAAAGTTGCTTTTACCTTAATCCCTAGTTCTGTATTTTATCATTTCTAATATGGAAATATTTTTTAAATGCGAACAATAATGATATGACGCAATTTAAAAGAAGTTCATTCGCAGTTGCATCCGCAAGAAACGAAAAATAACTGAAACACATTTGTTACAAACATTTAACATCTTTAGAATGTAGAAAATCTTAAATTTATGTCTGAAGAAGCTCCAAGAAGGAAAAAGCTCTAAGAAACAACATCTTTTAGCGTTTCTTTAGAAACGCGACTCTGGGTGGGAAATTAAGTTCCTTAATTATAAATGAATAAAGGAATAATTTGTTGGTTGGGAAGGTTGTCACAAGAGTGAAAGTAGAACATATAAGGAACTTCAATCCACATAAGTAATCCTCAGCACTTTTATATGATGATGTTAATTTCAGAGCTGCCAACCTTCCAGATAAAGATCAGAAATTATTACAGAAACAACGCATTGTTACCTACGATAAGCTTTGTAACACTCTGTTAGGAAATGGAACTATTAAGTTCCCAAAAAACTTAGCTAAAAGAAAAATAAATTAATTTCTTATTTCGAAATAGCCTGTAAGCACGTTTGATTGTTTTCATTAAACGATTATGCTAACACTGTAAGAACTAACTCTTTAAAGAGCGAATAGCAACAAAATAGGTATCATCATCGAAGTTAAGTCTACAAAATATGCATCATCATTGAAATTTAGTCAACATTTAAGAACTTAGAATATGTCATGTATTACTATTTTTGAAGTTCCTATTTTTTGTGTTTAAGAAAATATAAATTACACGTGTATATAATTATAAAATCTTGCTACGCGTAACAGAAATAATGAAAAAAATATTTACTCGAGGACCTTTCAAAAGCTTTATTATACAATGCACTTTCTTTATTCGCATCTTTTATATAAAATGTTCACTCTAACGATTTCTAAATTTCTGATCTAGAAATCGATGCCGAAGCTAATCTCTACTTAAAATAGTAATTGCAATTGCAATGTTTAAGTGTCGACTTTTAACGTTTTGCTAATGTTTATAAAAAAGAAAAAGTATGTATTTAAAAAGTGTGGTGTATGAAATATTAGCAAAAACATTACAAAAAATATGAATGTTGAACATGCTAGTACAAAAACATTTAAACTTTAAAGTTATACTTCAAACTATAAAAACTGCGTGGTTATCATATATCCGAAGTGCATAGAAATAATTCCAGACTTTGCTTAATATTATAATTATAAATTTAAGATCATGATTAAATGTTCAGTAAACAAGTTTTAATTTAAGATACCAAAATTCCTAATTGCTTAAACAACTTTTGGCTTAGAAGACACACTTGAAAACCTAAAATGGCAAGTCAGATTGCGAAAAAGTTAATCACATAATTAAAAAAGGGGGAAGGTTATTGCTTTAAAAAAGATTTGAAAAAGATGCTAAGGTTCCGAAGAGGAAAATGGAATACTTTGGAAGAATATGAATACAAACGATCAATTAGGATGCAGTGAAAAAGTATATTCTGTTTATCATTTCCTTTTCTTTAGAACTTTATTTCGATTTAAGGAAATCAGTCAGTTACATATGTAATAAATAATATGTAATTATAATTCATATGTAATAAAATAAAATTTTTTAATTAACAAATAAAATAGTTTCTATAACGTGAAGAAACAAAATGGATTGAACTTATAAAGACCATATATATATATTGAAAAAAAAGAAGAAATTTTTAAAGGGAAGAAAACGTATGATTCCTTATCAGACACACTTTCAAACAAGAATAGAAATTAATACTGAAAGGTTGGCAAGTTCTGCTAAGAACTTCTGTGAACGTATTGCAACGCGAGAGTATTTCATTAAACAGTCCTAAAATTTTTAAATGCAGAAAAGCGAAAAGTTCAGAGATTTATATAGATACACGTATTGCTATATTTTGCATACTAAATTTGTGCGTGTGTCACTGCGCTTTACAAATCAGAATGAAGATATTCTAAAACTTCTCGTCTTCAAAAATAAAGAAAAAATTCTCTTGATCTAATAGCAGACTTCACTTTTAAAAGCTCTTATTCAAGATATTTTTTTTTTTCAATCTGTGAACTACAATATTGTAGCAAAATTGTTGTCCATAAATGAAGATGAAAATCTATCACACACTCTTTTATATCCTTCGAATTCCCCTTTAATGTTAATCACCGTTATTTGAAATAGAAAGTGATTGATTTGTTTAGTGCTGAAGGCAACTATTTTTATACTAAAATTAATTAAAATTACCTAATGAATGGATTTTAAATAACTTCGAGATTCTGAAAAATTGTGTAATTAATTCTTTTCCTATTGAAATCATGCCTAATTTTTTTATTATTTAAGCAGAATTTATTAAGTATAACAGCATGTTCTAAATTTTAAAATTTAATTAATCGAAATTAAGCTAAAATTTTTTAAATATAACTGTGCATTTATTAATAGTAATTTAATATCATAATTTTAAAATAAGCTTAAATCATTTGCAGGATCTCAAAAAGAATTCATTAGAATTAATAATAAGAATAAAAGAAATTCTGTTGCAATACTGGAAAATAACTGCTTCTGAAGGAAAAAAAAAAAAAAAAAAAAAAAAAAAGTTAAACTTTCCATAAATGCTAAAAGAAATAAGAAAGAAACGTACGTATAAGAAGCGCAAGATTATAGGACTGTAAGAATTGTATAATTAAAATATCATATATCTTTGGCACTAAATCGTTTCTTCTGTTCCGTTCACAGTCGAGATAATCAGGGTTTGCATAGACCCGCCTGTTTCTCAACGTTGCGAATACATTCACGTTTGCATATTTAAAATGTCATCCGATAACAACTGAAATTTTTATTTGTTTACAGTCTGATGAGCATATTTAAGCATTGATTATTATAGTATGTACAAAGTCAACACATATGTATATTGGCTGAATATACACTATAACATAACACACTCATACATTTATAGCAAACATAACTTTAAGCATTCATTGACTCATTCGGAAGTTCTCCATGACACATCCGATTTTCAAAATCGCTATTCAAAGCAACATGTGAAATGCTGCGCAAATTCTAAACATACTGCATACTTGTCAAAAAGTGTTCTAATATTTTGTGGCAACATTTTCGCCGTCAAGAGACGCTCTACATCGCACTGAAAGTAACCTGGACTTTATTTATTGCACTTTTTATTTTACCTTTTCTACTTCAATTCCCAGGCCAGCTGTGAATTGAATTGCAGTGTTATGGGCGTACCACACAAACATACACACAACACTAAGAGTTCTTTAAAGTGAGTAATTTTTGTGCAATAAACAGTTTATTTGAAATAGTTGTTCGAGAACATGAAAAATAACGCATTGTTTAAAGCCTAAAAAACAAAGCTTGTGAGCAGATACGCATAAATTTTAAGTGATGAAACTATCTTGCAATAAATGAAACTCAAGAGAGTATTTCTTTCTCTTGCTTTTAGCAGACAAAAATAAAAGTATGATGTTAATATCTGTAGTAAGCTTAATGGCGTCTGGCAATGCCAGATACATAGAAGCTAAGTTAAATAAATAGAAGCGTAACGATATTTGATCCCTAGTAAATGTTTCCTCGACATCCATCCGAGGCTATTTTATTCCTCCAAATTATTTAGCTGTGCGTGAATTCTATAGTTGCTTGACATTTTCTTGAATTTCATCAAAGTATTCCACGTGCATTTCTACGATTATCACAAAAATTCATTCGTGGAATAAGGACGCTAATTTGTATTCAGCACCTAAAAATTTGGGGCTAAGCACGGATGCCCCTAAGTTGAAATGTCTCTGACATTTTGCATTACCTCCTGAGCTTGATTTTTTAAGGTTTTAATTCAGTTTTAGGTAGACTAGTATTATTTGGCGGCAGATGTTTTTCTGATCTTCTTCCGAGCAACTACTCGCAACAGTTTCGAAACTTATAGTGACACAATGGCAGCAACCAAGTTTGCAGCGCAATCAACTGTCAGATGCATTACTCTGAGTAAAAGATGCAAAACAAATATTTTTTAATTTACAGATTTAGAAGCGGTAGTGTCAACAATGGGAGTACTATTTGGTTATATGAGTGAAAATGTTCGTGAAATGAAGAAGCGAATAATGAAAATTCGAAGTTAAATTTTAATAATTATTTAGAGAAGGTATTATTAAAAAGTATTCAGATATTACTCGATAAAGGGATTCTGGACACTACCTTAGTATATTAAGCAGATTAAATTTTATCCATTTAATTTTAATAAGTATTAATTAAACAGATTTTACAGAAATTGTCGTTATAAGACTTAAATATAAGAGAAATGAATTACAGATTATATCTGGGTTTAGTATCGGGTTAAATAGTTATAACAGAAAAGTATTTAATATAAGTTCTTTCCAGAAATAATGTTATGCGTTTACTTCCAAAATTTTAAAGCCTTTGTTCAACTTCTTAAACCAAAACTTTAAACAATTTGCTAAAGTTGTCCTTCATTTACTATGCATGGCAAAAATGCATTTAATTTTAAAACACGCATTTATACTCAAGAATGATATGCAACATAGAATATTATTTAGTTTTCGACTTAGAAGTCTTCCTCATAAACTAGTACTATGATTATAACATTCCAAAATAAACTAGCTTTAGTTAATATGATTTATTGTTTTCGTTAGCATCTTTATATTTAAGCTAAATGTTCTTATATAAACTCAAGTGTTAAATTCATCATTTTTAGTTATAAAATGAGAAATACATTTCTCTCATGATTTTATACGAAACGTTATTTTCTCTTTTACCCAGAGTATATGCAAGAATATATCATGCCTTCAGATTTCGTAAAAGTTTTTAGTGCTTGATTTTTAATGAGAACAGTTGCATACGTTTTCTTCATCCAAGCCATCAAGCGAGGCAAATCATTGTAACAACTTCCACCATCACAAGAAAGTTTTGAATTATGCGCTTTTCAAACTACAAACTGGCAAAGTTAATGAATGCCCTTTGTAGACACTGGCACAAAAACGTCCTTTTGTTATGTATTGCAGGAAGTTGCCTCAGTAATATAGTTATTCACATCATCCAAAGATATGTTTAGTATGACACAGGCGAGACGACTAGATCGGTGAAGATCACAGCCTTCCCAAGAAACATGGCGAGAATGATTATGAGCAGGATGAAAATGGCGATAACGAAGTATAGAATATTGTAAACAATATTTCATTTTTATTCCATTAGTTTTATATTTTTAAGACTTATCCATTTGTTCTAATTTATTTCAATCACACTCAGCCAGTATTTCTATAATATAATTTTTTAAGGTAGAGATGTGCATATAATATATATAAATGAAAATTTGAAATGCTTAAAAGTATTCTATATGTTAAATTCAGATCCAAATGCCAGGGTTAAAGTATTCTAATTATCAATCAAGATTTTACTCCTCTGCTGTTTAAATTCTTTTCTCCGTTTTTATGCTGGTAATTGTCCAAATTTGTTCTTAAATAGATTGCAGTCAAAATCTTATGTACATTTTGTATATCTTCATTAATAGCAATATTTAATCAGCCATATATATTTATAAAATTTAAATTTTGATTGATTATAATTTATTATAGTGCTTTTAATATCATCAACAGATGATCTGAGAATTGACCACGTTCTATGAAGAAAGTAATTAAAATGAATTATAGTATAACGCATGCGCTTCTAGTAACTTCCTCCGCACTACCAGAATTTGCGGAACTGAAAGACATTTTCCAGAAGTACTTTCTGCTCAGTATGAATAGGAAATAATACAGTAACATAAAATTAGAAAAGGGTTTTTTATGGACACATAATCCTGCAGTTGACATCTTCTTTGTACTTTCAAGGGTGAGAATCATCGATGACAGCAGCAGCACAACACCTAAACTCGCGGGTGAAATCTACGTCATTTTTTATGTGTTGATTCCCCTTTCTAAAGCAAGAGCAATCGATTGAGGAACCGAATAAATTAATCGATACGAAGAGCTGCCTGTTTTTGATTCGCTGGATGTGCGTAGTCGCCACTCCTTCAGGCTGCCATGTCGTAATGGTGAACCTCGGCTGTTTCTTGTATAGTGAGACCCGCCATTCTTTTGCGATCCATGGTAGCCTAAAAAAAAAAAAGTAACTTGAGTACAAATTATAATCAAACTCACGTTTCTAACTTTTGCATTAGATTCCTGCCTCTCCACATAATATTAAAAACTAAAGTATGAGAATGCATCGAAAGTTATTAAAGACCGGCATTTAAACTTAGAGAATTAACTAATGAGCCTTTTGCATTCGAGTTTGCCAATAACTGAGACTTGGTGACAATGGGAAATTTTGCCACTGACCTTAACCGAAAATATGAGCTATCTTACTTGCTATAGCCTACACTAAAATCACCCATTTCTTAAGCAGAACAAGCATGTGGAGATGTTTTAAATAATAATCTAAGTCAATTGCATCTAATAAATGCAGATGATAGTTATGTTATTGAAAATTAATTCCTGTAATTGAAGTTTTTCCTCATGATATAGATCAGGGTTTCTCAACCTGAGGGCAATTCCCCTTAGTAGGTAGTTTCATAATTTAGGGGAACGGGAATGCGGTCAGCCTTTTATTTTCCCGTTAAATATTCAGTTTCAGTTTATGAATGTAAAGAACTACTTTTATTCGAGTTTCAGTCTTTATCAAAATTTTCTATACTTTTTTCTTATTTAATTTATATAAGACATTAAAAATAACCTAGATTTAACTAAATATATGTGTTTTCCTGAGAGTTTAAGTGGAAGGAGAGGAAGAGATGGTCTAGCAATGGCGAAAGGGGTGCATGGGGCAAGAAAAAGGTTGAGAATAACTGGTATAGATGTTGAAATCACAAAATATTTCGATGGCGTTAATTAATTTAAAATAAATTATGCGTTGTGTTGATTATTATGTGTTGATTCTTACGAAGTTATTCAACAAGTTAAACCAAGGAGGCTATTGCAACACTCTTCCTGAGTAAAAGTGAATAATCTTTTTTAAATATTAATGAATCGTGAAGGAAGATTAGAGCATTTCAACCTTTCATGGGTATCTTTCTTTATATTAGAACTTTGTCCTAGTATCTTCTCCAAACGAATGGCGTTAAAGTTCTAACAATGCCTTCTTTAATGTCATAGATTAGAGAAAATGATAGAGATAACTTACGTGATGAAGCATTCCGTTCCGACCGACAACGATAGCCCTACATTCATCAGTGGGCCTACGTCTCTCGGTGGTGATGGCGCTTCCGCAACGTATGGGCATGGTGGCGTAAGGTGCCGGGTAGCCTTCTGGAGGTGGATGTGGAGGCATGGGCACACCAGGAATCCGAAGCAGAGGCCGGTTCTTCTCCACGTCTACATAGCGCTGAGGGTGAGGCAAAGTAGAACTGCCACTATAGGAATAACGACGGTCCGGGCCGCCTATTAAAAAAAATCGAAAGATGAATAACTGCTATACATCTGAAGAAGCAACCAGTTTGTTTAAGTAATTTCAAGTAAAAAAAGGGAATGAAGTCACCAAAATATGTCACAAAAACGGACCTACAATTTCTTAAAGGGATTCATCACTGCCAAGTAAATACGCATATTGGTACGATGTTCATCCAAATTAGGTTCCCAGCCAACTGGCTGACTGCACTAGATTTTTCATGGTTTTCCCTCGTGTAAATGTACAGGAGCCAATTCAAATTCTGATTTTACTTTTTAATGCTGATCGGATGAAAAACGTCGAGAACTACCAATAAATTAATATTTAATTGTAGCAAGCTGAAATAATATTATACCTCTAAGAACAGAATCTACTACAAAAAGGTTTTTGTAGCAATTTATGTTTTGCATTCGCGTTTTAGAGATTTAATTGTATTTGCAATTCACTGCAGTCGTACTTTCAGAAAGCCACATTTCTTTAGTTATAATTTGTTTCCGAATTCTTTATATCAGCAACTTCGATTAAGGCCAGAAAAGCTGAACTGTATTGTCACTGGCTTACACAAATTATATGCAATAATTATAAATGCCTTATTTTCGTGCGATGGATTATCACTCTTTCGCCTTATTTAATGAAAATAAATAGAACTTTTTTAGAAACAGTGCGCACTTTTATTTTGCTCTATTTTCAACTATTTTAATGGTAATAATGTGCGTATAATTCACCTATATATAAAAAAATTTTTTGCTCCCAAAGTTCTTCAAAAAAACTATTAAATTTCAATACGTAAAAGCTTGAAATACGATTTAAGTCAATAAAATCATTCTTGAATTTTACACCCTTGAATTTTACACGAAGTATGATATAGTATTAAAGTATAATGGATATGTTAGAAACCGGAATTTTGCCTTGAAGGAATTATATAAAGATTTGGTTTTTATATTCACGGAGCCCTTCCATCTGCAATGTTTTCATAAAATTCTCTTCCTTATTTTGAAGATATGTATAATTGAAGGTATTCAATCTAAGATCAATAATTAAAGAAATAAAGCCTGAAGCCATTTTTTGAGCAACTAATGTATCACTTATCAATGACGTTTTATTTTTTTGTACTGATGATTCATGCTTTTAAAAAGGTCAAAAGACGCAATAAAGCATAGTTACATTCATATGTTCTTAGAATGACATAAAACGCGGGAGCTGAATTGCTAGACTTTAAAAATTATATCATTCAATTTTGTAAATAATCCAAAGAATTTCCAACAAATTTCATATAGAATATACATTATGTTCTTTTTCTAGCTGAATTTTGAACGTGCTGAACTGCATGTTGCACTGTCACTATGAATTTTACGGTATTTTTACATCAAAGAAGACATATTTACTAGGTCAAAACTTGAAAGTCATCGCTTGGATCACCCACACATTGGCCTTCAGAATTTTACTTTCTTCATTCACACAAAAATTTTTTCGAAGAAAACCGACATTGCAAAACAGAAAAACAAAACGAAACGAAAAATACACATAAAGGTTTCCGTCCTCTTTTGTTTATTGTATAGAATAAGACGTTTGAAACAATCGTAAAGTGATGAAGACGAGTATTTCTCTTGCACATGACTTTAATGACAGCACTTATGTATGTCATCCGCTGCGGTCAGGCGATCACGCGAGACCAAGGTCGCTTGACCCTAAGCCCCATAATCACAGGAAAAACGGGATTTTTATTTTTCTGGTTGAATGAGCTTTCTCACTACGCGGTTGAATAAATATGATAGAAGGAAAGTGAATGACAAAGCACAACAACGACGGGAGGTAACTAAAAAATAAAACTGGTGGTTTTATTATTACACATAAAATTAACACGATGCAACTTCTTTTAACGTTCAAGAACAGTTAAACCTGGTATAGCGAACATGGTTCATAACGAACGAATAGTTTGGTCTCGTCAAATTTCCTATGTACTTAATGTTATTTTACACAGCTATAACGAATCTTCAAAGGTATGAGAATCGTAAATAATGAATTTTACGGATATTATCTGCCAACAAATTTTTTGTATTTTTCGTATTTTTTCCATATATTTAGTGCAATATTTATTAAACTCAAAATCAGCCGTGTTTAAGATCTATCCATGCGAAGACAAAGAGAAACAATTTTACCTTATTTGTTCTTTAATTTTCACACCAATTTCTCTGTGTTCTGAAAAATGGCTATACGAGACAGGTGTAACACCCAGTTCTTGGAGAATAAGGATACACAATAAACGTATCTCAGGATATTATAATGGTGTATGTGACCATCGAATCTGAACAGGTTTTCTGTTTCTGTTCAAGCTCTTTCGGTGAGATGTCAGAGTTCTGTTGAAGCTGATGCTATGATGACAATTTTGAGATTTTCGCTATTCAGTGATTCTCCTTTTAGGGTACGAATATTTTTTACTTATCGGTTCGTTTTGTATGAGGGCAAACCTTCTCCATAAGTTCTAAATGGGGGGGGGGAAGTCCATTTTTTAGGTATTTTGGAAAATTTTAAATATTCTGTTGTTGTGACTAATGTCGCTTGCCTAACATCAGAACAGGCCCAAAAAATTCATCGTAGCAAGGAGGCAAGATTGCTCTTTTCGTTGGGAAAAGCCTTGGGCACCACAGAAGTGACAATACAACTTTGCTCAGTTTCGCTCCCAGTTTTGCAGGAAAGCATCCCAGGGGATCGGCTCCAAAGATCTCCCAGTCCTCCTCCATACCATTAAACTCTCTAGAGGACTTTCGGCACGCTGTCTGCGCGGCTTTTGAGTGCCAACATGCCACACAGACACTATACATTTACACACATCCATGCCTTCTCCGGGATTCGGAGACGGGCCCTTCGGTAGGGCAGTCAGAGTCACTACTGTCCCGGTCAGGCGGCATTAAGTGTTTTATAATGGATATTGAATATTTGCTTTTGTGCGAAATGAATGCATTCTTACTGCAGACAAGATAAGATAGAGTAGTGCAAAACGTTTTAATGTTTTTACAGAAGGGTAAAACTTCATATATTCTTTGATCTAACTGTCTGAACCTTGTATTGGAGAAACTTTTAAGTGCCAAAAATTAATCCGTATGGCGAAAAGTAAATGCCAAGCATTCAGCATTGAAAATAAGATGATCATGTTCGAAAAATACAGAAATGTATATAGCCAAATACAGAAATGTATATATCGATATCTTCCAGGAATACAGCTTATGCAAATCTACAGTTTGTACCATGTGGAAAAATTCAGACTCGATAATTTCTACTATTGGAAAAAAAATCTCGATATGAGGAAAAGTTGAGAAAAGCCAATAATAAGAATGTTGAATGAGCACTGCTTAAAATGGTTCACTATTCAAAGAATGCGTAATCTGCCCATATCTGACCAAATGTTTCAAAAAACTGCCGATAAATTTGCCATGCAGTTTGGAAAGATAACCATTTTGTATTCAATTTACTGGCTGGATAAAGTTAAGAAGCCTGAAAACATTTCTTCAAGCAAAATGGAAGAATCAGACAATGTTTCAAAATTTTATTTCGAAGGAAAAAATGCTTGGAATGATGAATGTTGCTAGTACTAAAAAAAATGACATTTCCAGCGTCGATGAAAATGGTCCACTAGATTATGTCAAACCAAACGTAAAAATATGAAAATCAAAGATATTCCAGCGAAAAACTCTCAAAGGTGCGAATCTTGTAAGAATTATAAGAATTGGAACCTCCCTTCAGCCCACCTGGACACGAGTGTCCCCATAGCTCAAAAGAAGGGTGCTAATATGAAAGAACTTCTTGTGTACGCTAATACGAACCGTCGACGCTTGGTAAAGAAATCCTAGAAACCAAAAGACAAACGATGTGAAAATAATTCTTGATTCTTCTAAAATTAATTGTAAGGCGTGGATAACGTCGAAATCATTTGAAGAAAAGCTATGGAAGTGGAATGAAGAGCTTTCGTTCAAACTGTTGATTGAAAATTGTAATCACAGAGAGATGTCGAAAGCTTAGAATGAATTAAGATTGTTTTCTTGCCGCCGAATGCAACATCGATGCTGATATCTATGGGATCAACGCTCACCAGCGGCCGAGCGGTAAAGTCGCTGAACACTGGTAGTTCGGTCCGAGGTTCGAATCCCGCGAACGGGCTGGCTGCATGGGTGTCTACGTGGTTTTCCCCATGTGTAACGTGTATACGAGCCAGTTTCCCTTAGAAAGTCCTCCACGAAGGCTTCCCTCCCCTTAGGCAAATAGCCCTGGTGTGCTTTGCCATAATTAAATACACCACATACACTACACCACATCTATGGGATCAAGACGTGATCAGGAGCTTCAAGTACCCTTATAAAAAGCAGCTGATCTTAAGTATTTGGGAGAAGTACAACACGTAGATTATAACGTTTAATACAGAAAGAAATATTTTGGCGATCTGCTGCAGAATCAACCATCCGAAATTACTTTTGGTATGCTGGTATAGCATTGGGTGTTGAAGAGGAAAATAATGAAAACAAGGATGCCAGTCGGATAGACGAAATAGCGTTTCCGTATTTGAGAATATGATATGGAGCTTTTTCAATGCAGCGATGATGATATTTGATGCTTTTAAGTACGCTCTTCTGATTGGTGAAAACATTGCAACACAAATTAAAATGAGAAACATTTGCATCGAAGACTCTTAAAATAAAACTCCGTACCACAGCCGAGGCAAAACTGCGATACGTTTCATTACTTAAGTTTTTATTTACACAAATTGTACAACGGAAAGTGATGGAGTCTTTTCAATTTTGATACAAAATTGTTAACAGAAACTTACTGCAATCTGCATCACGTTATCAGAGTTGTTATTTGTTCTCGGAAGTTAAGTTAGATTCGTCAATAATTTTTGATATTCAGTCTTAGTGCCTTTATATTTTTATGGATAAAATAATAAGTCTTAATTATATATGTGCATTTTAAGATTCGAAAGAAGGATCAGAACCATGACA